ACAGCATGCATAACAAACCCGATTTTGATGTACACTTGATGCAATGTCCGGGATTTTGCCACAAGCGCTGATGCTTTTGGAGGCAACTTTGTTGTGATGCGTTGTGTTAGCAATCCACTATGTGAGTGAAGGCGATCACTGCATGGATGCTTGCAACCAGTTCAGCTGTTGCCGATGCTGCAACAGCTGCTGGAGTGCACAATGAAGTGTCCCAACAAAATTTATGTCCTTGCACGATGCTGAAATAGTGGTTGTGAAAAGTGTTTGTGCATTGTGAACGACGCACGTGGTCAATCCTGCGTTTGTGTGAGTTAGGCATTGACCGTTGGGAGCAGCATACTTCTGGCAGCTCTCGTGGGTGCAGACGACTTAGGGACCTATAGTTGACAAACGTTCAAGGGTCATGCAGCATGCGCATGAGCATTGAATGGTGATGGCACAAGGCCCTGGCACTTTCATTGAAGAAGGAAAAGGCACAACCGCATTGTCATGTCAGTCCAGAGGGACGCTCATGCATCCTTCTTGACTCGAGGTCAGTTCGTTTCCTCGGAATGACTTCAGAGATGATTTCCGGAAGTCAATGCCAGAGAACCTGACAGAAGAGGAGAATGAAGTGCGTCCTTGTGACTAGTGACTAGCAGTAAGGCCAGGAACTATTAGTAGTGTCCTTGTTCGTAGTAGCGGTGCCCTTTGTTCCTAGTAGTTTATATTGATTTAATGTTTTCATTGTTGAACCTTTGTTGGCATTGGTAGCCGTAGCTTCAGGATTTCATCAACATGGGTATGCCAGCCGAACCTCACCTCGAAGGAGGGCAGGAAACCCAGACTTTGGGACTGTTTGCAGACGCCTGATATCATTCAAGTTCCTGCAGGTTCCTGCCACCAACGCGGCTTATTCACAGCAATAGCACTGAAGCTTTCACATTTGACAACGAGATCTCTAGCTGCATCAGATTTCAGACATCTTCCACTCGACCAGTTAGGAAAGGTTGTGCGTGGCAGTGATACTAATTTTCTGAGACAAAGTCTTGCAACATGTCATTGCACAAACCTTTAGGAATTGCAGTGGCCAGTTCCTGGTGCTGCATCGTCCAACTCATGACAGGCTCATTACAGTGTTCCAAACAAAATGTTTTATTGTAAGAACAAACATTGTAGACATGAATGCGTACATTTGGTTGGAGGCCATCGCTAGTAGGTTGGAGTCCATCGTTAGTATTGTGGACAAACCTGAATATGCAGTCTATCAGAAGTTGCGTGTTTGCCCATTTTTATCAACATGCCTGTGCCAGTAGATTAGATGCATCTGGTGCCTATCGATATGGCGACCACTTCGCTGGAAAAAAGTGGAGCCTGGCTTGTGTTAGACAATGGCGATTTTGCAGATTTGAGAGAGAGGACGCTACTAGGAACAAAGGGCATCGCTACTAGGGGCAAGGAGGCTACTAGTAGCTCCTGGCCTTACTATTAGGAGCAAGAGGACGCTACTAGGAGCAAAGGGCATTTGGTTTCAATGACTCGCAGGCGATTGTGGGAGCTACGCTTCAGGTTCCATTTCAAGCGTCGGGTTTCACTCTCGGACCTCTTTTTTGGTGCTGAACTGGAGGAGCCTTTTCACGATTTTCAAGTGTGGAAGTGTTTTTAGTTTTCCAAGCATATTATGGAAAACAAAAAGATACTTCTTCTCCCTAGTAGCGATGGCCGCCAACCTAATAGCGATGGCCTCCGCCTAGTAATGCAAAACTGTGTCGAACTGAACATCAATTTTCACATTTAGTTTAGTTCTGTAACTCTTTGCGTTCGTGGCGATCCGGAGACCTTTCATGCAGGAATACGTGCCTGTGAATGCTGCCACAAAAAGAGTGATGGATCTCTCAGCAGGAGGCTGAGAAAAGGTGTCATGGAATGAGATGCAATGAAAAGACAGGCACTCTGATGTTCGAAGAGTAGTTTAACTAGTTTTTTGTAGTATCCTCTTCTGAGGTGGCTGGCATGCGCCAAGTAGTTGGCGACCGTTTATATCACACTCTTGGTGATGAAAGTGGAGTGGCTTGCCAGCTTCACGTAGCTTACTACTTACTACTAGCGATGGCCTCAAACCTAATTGCAATGGCCTCCAACCTACTAGCCATGGCCTCCAACCTTATAGGAATGGCCTCCACACTACTAGCTTTGCAAGCAATCATGCAAGATCATGAAAGAAGCGTTTTGCAAACTGAGGATGGAGAGAGGGAAAGGCCTGCCATTTTGCTGCCACTTTGGGCAATTGCCCCAGCAGTTGGTTTCTTTCCCATGGCCTTTTCCAGCGCAATGGTAATGCATTAGGTGCTGGCTTTGTTTTAATTACGGCGATGACGTCTTCGAAGATCTATTTTGGCATTTCTATGCATTTCTACGTCTGAACATGGCTTGGCCCTAGGCCTTTGACCAATTCATCGAGACTGCGGAGGGTGAGACTCCTCCCGATTTGACAGATCCCAATCTCCCTGTCAGAATCCTGGGGGCCCGAAGTGCCACGCTAGTAGTAACAGGTGCCTTACTACTAGTAACAAGTGCCACGCTACTAGGAACAAGTGCCTTACTAGTAGTAACAAGAAGCTATTAGAAACAAGAAGCTATTAGAAACAAGTGCCACGCTAGTAGTAACAGGTGCCTTACTAGTAGTAACAAGGACGCTACTAGGGGCTCCTGGCCTTACTACTAGGAGCAAGGACGCTACTAGGAGCAAAGGGCTGTTTTGGGCTTTGCCCTCACTCACTGCTTTCAACGATTGGTTTCTCAGGGGGCACACTTGGCCAGTGGGTCTTTCTGAGGCCTATGGGCACAAACGAGTGGGTCAAATCCGCGAATACAAGCGCATGATTGATGGTTTAGATCTCAGGCCGCCCAATGCCGGATGGGTGGTTGGTTTTCGGGGGGTCAGTGTTGCACAGATAGCTGCAAGCCAATCCGTGTCTGCGATCTATGAAACAAGAGATGAATCACAGGTGCCACTTTCTTGCTAGTAGATACTAGCTACTAGTAGCGATGCCCTTGTTACTAGTTACTAGTAGCGATGGCCTCCAACCTATGAGCGGAGATGATCTTGGAGTATGGGCGGAAATGTACCCTCCCCGTGTTCTTAAGAGAGGCTGAGAGGGACTAAACTAGTTCTTCGCGATGTGACAGGTCAACCCCCTCACAACTTCTATTTTTTCTTTTTTGGAATCGACGATGCAAGACGGGTAGGCATCGCTCTTAGGGTGGAGGCCATCGCTATCAGAAACAAAGAAACAAAGAACAATGGTAGACTGTTAGACATCGAATCATCGGAGTTGAAACACTTTCAACCACAAGACACGATGCGGGGGTGTTTGCGCTCGTGGCAGGCCTGGACCCACTTTTACCTTTTGTTTCTGGGGCGTGTCCAGATTCTGCGATGTGATGCTGTGGCAGGCCACATGTCCAAAACATTTATGATTCTGGTAGTATCAGTGCATCAGTCACTGCCAGTGTTGTTTTATTCTTTTGAAGGCCAGTGGCATTCCGATCTTCACACCGATCGATCTTAACCTCTACTGTGGTAAGCCTCCTCTCAACTTGGTCCTGTACACGCTCAAAGGTGGCAACCAGTTTTTGTGGCAACCAGCATCTGAAGATGTTTTTTTTTTTGGTTTTGTTCTATTTGGTTTTTGATGTCATGATGTCACCATTTATCTTTTCAGGTGACGAGGAGGACAAACGCCACCTACAGTCCAGGAAAACCTACTACTTTCGGTGTTGCTTCTGGAGCTCGCTGAAGCGCCCAGACAAGGTGCTGTTTTTTGATGGAGATCCATGCTTGAAGCTTGAGGGTCAGAGTGAAACATGAAAACGCTTTGAGGATGTCGTTATGAAGCTTGCTGGACGTTCCCTTGATTTGTTGAAGCGACAGCCTGGCGTTGTTTAACAACATTTACGCCAACTCACATTCAGCATTGTGCCAGGAAGACGGAAACATCTCAGTAATTTGCCAAAAGCACCTGCACCTCTTTCCATTTTTGGGCTCAACGTTTTTCAGCGCAGGCCTCAGGAATTCAGCACTTGCAAGAATAGAAACCACAAGTGATTTGGTTTACCAAGTGGTCAAAGTTTTTTGGCTCTAGTTTTTCAAGATGAAATTTGACTTGCAACTTACCTCCAAAGCTGGTCACATTTGTTTCCTTTGTCTCTTGTTTCCAGTGTGTCTGGTTTTGGATTTACCAGTTTGGTGCGGGTGCACAGGCATGTCGCATGGGTGACTGAGCTAGGCCTGTAGAGCTCCATCCAACAAAGCACATCAACGTCATCGAGACGTGACGTGTCCAAGTTTTGACCAAAGCAATATCGATGGCCTCCAACCTAGTATCGATGGCCTCCAACCTAGTAGCGATGGCCTCCAACCTAGTAGCGATG